AGGATAAGAAAAAAATAGAATAACATACTATACAACAAGAATAAAATACTATTTACAATAGTACTATACAAAATAGAATAAAATGCTTTATTATGGTAAGAAAAATTGCACTTGGTAATATTGCACATCAGGGAGACAGTTACAATTGTGTATGGGATGTGTGTGTGTGTGTCTGTCTGCACATGTGTGGTCATCTGCAGAGACCATGTTGTAGAGTTTGACAACAGTTGGAAGAAAAGACCGGAGACTCTCCGTCCCACATAGCGGGTGCCGCAGCCTGCCACTGAAGGAGCTGCTCAGTGCTGTGAGGGTCTCCTGCATGAGGTGGGAGATGTTGTCCAACAGGGATCACACCTCCAATGGGTCCAGAGGGCATCCTAGAACAGAGCTGGCCCTCTGCTGGGGACGGGAAGAGAATGAACAGGCTGATCCAGAGATGCTGCCGCCCAGCAGACCATACTGTAAAAGATGACCACCACAGAGTTCTAGTAGGTCTTCAGGACTGGGCCCTTCACCCCAAAAGATCTGAGTCTTTCCCAACTCTCTGTGAATGGTACTTATGGCCATGTATCAATTGTCATTAATTAATTACGTAATAACCTGGTGAGGCTGAAGAAGTCACTTGGATAAGTGATGAAACGTTTCTCAAGACATTAAGACAAATAGTTTATAATTAGATACAAGATAATTATTAACTATTAGATATACTGTATGGCCATCTCAGAAATCGGGGGTGTTTTTAGTAATCCATGGAAATTAGAAGTGAAAGATGGAGGTGGAGGGAGTGGAAATATTGTTTAACAAAACCAAATGAAGGCACACTTATTGAAACAATCCCCAGCTCTCTTCTCAGGCCCATACAATAACCTGGTTCAGAAGCTTTCATCGACTTTGACCCCCTAATCCAATGTTGTAAATGTGTTCTTACATAGTTTCAGGAATACACAAACAGCCTCTGATGAAGATAATAATATTTGAAGCCCCCACAACATAAGTATATCTGAATATGACTGAAAGACATTACAGACAAGACAAGCAGAAATGAGATTTTAACTGTTTTAGTAAAATGAAGACAGAACATATCATCTTTGAGGTTGCAAAATGTCCTTGTTTCTAAGCTCTAAAACAAACTGGTCCCCACCTAGCCAATTAAACGAGCACACACACACACACACGCAGATTAAAATGCCATGCTGACATAATCCTCAGTGTGAATTCTTTGTATTTGGTGCTGTTACTACATGGGAAATAAGCCAAAGTAAGAAGTTAAAGTCCACTTTTAATAAATGTCTCCATTAGGGATTCTGGAAATCCCTTCAAAACAGTGGTTTTAAACACACATCTGGGATTTTCCACCACTGGTTATTTTAAAGACACCGATATCACCTGTGAGCAGAATCAGTTTAATCAGTGTGTACTTCTTGAGAGCCATCTTCACAAATGACAGAAAGAATCCAAATGCAAAAAATATAAAACAATGTGAGGTAAACACAAAGTAACACAGATAATAATTTTAAAAGAACAAATGAAAAAATAAAAACAGCTCAGTGATGACTGTCTCTATTCCTGCAGTATAGATTTGAGGTCTGTTTCTGTTTCAATGCACAATAACTTTTATCACAGAACCAGTGTCACCAGCTTCAACTGAAGGAGACGTGTAATTATAATTATATAATAAGTATAAAACACAATAAAGCACTTTATGGGATAATAATGCAAAACGTTCTTAAAGGAAACATCTACATTTCACTTGGTGACGAGTTATAAAACAAATATTTTATGGTCTCCTGTCCACAAATTAGCCAAATGTAAGAATTTTGTTTAAAATACTGTGTTTAAACATAATCAATTTCATTGTCATTAATTGCAAGAGGAATTGAAAGTAATGTATTTACTTCTAATTTTCCATATATTTAGCTTTAAAGTAGCTAATACCTTAAAGTATTAGCTACTGATAGCTACAATTGAAATTTAGTGGGGGTTTTAATGCACAAAACCTAAAAAGGAAATTTTTAGGTAGTTGCCCAAATTTACATAGCAGGAGGTTACAAGACACACTTGTCTAAAGATGATTTTGTAGTTTTATGTTTATGTATGCAGGAAGTAATGTTCAATGCTCTAAAACAGGGGTCCCCAATCCCAGTCCACG